ATGCGTACAGAGGCTAGAGGCCAACCTTGAATGTCATTTCTCAGTTGCTATCTACCTTTCTTTTTTTTTTTTTTTTTTTAAATCAGACAAGACCTATCTCTAGTCTAGAACTCTTCAGTAAGAAAATGAGGCTGGCTGCCTAGTGTAACCCAAGGGATTAACCTGTCTTCACCTCTTATGCTGGGATTAAGAACATGCCACCACATCCACCTTTATAATTTTCAATGTCGATTCCAGGGAATGAACTTGGGTTTTTGTTTTTGTTTTTTTAACATTTATTTAGAGAATGTGTGTGCAGGTGCACACAAGCATGCACACCATGGTGCACATGTAGCAATCAGGGAACCACTTGCTGGAGTCATTTCTTCTATGTATTACCCAGTTATCGAATTCAGTCCATGAGGCTTGGCAACAAGTGACTTTCTGCTGAGCCATCCCAACCCAGGTCTTCTTGATTGCAGGGCAAGCATTTTAAAGACTGACCTATCTCCCTAGCCTGAAATTTTGCATCTTTAAATAAAATCAGAGTCATTTTGTTTCCTTTTCAATATATGCATTTGTTCATATATTCTTTGCCCCATTTTTTTCATTTGTGATACTCATCATTTCAGCCTTGGCTGCAAATATTTTCTTAGTACCTTTCCACTGGATGTATAGCTGGGATTCTGTTGTTGGATTGGTTTTATTTGTCTGTTTTTAATTTTTTTAAGTTTATTTTATGTGTAAGGGTATTTGGCTAAAAGTATGCCTATGCACTATGTGTATGCTGGGTGCCAGTGGAGGCCAGAAGAGGGCATCAGCTCTCCTGGAACTAGAGTGTTGTGAGCTACCATGTAGGTTCTGGGAATCGAACCCACACCCTCTGAATCAGTAGCTAATGCTCTTAACTGCTGAATCATCTCTCTAACCCTTGTTGTTTTAATATTGTATTACGTGTGTGTATGATGTGTGTTCATGAATGCTGGTGTTCAGTGTATGTATGGAGGTTTCTAAGTCAGTTTTCAGGAATCCATTCTTCTGTCATGAGATCTGAGTATCAAAATTCAGGTCATCAGTGTGCTTGGCAAGCAGTCATGTCTGCTGAGCCCCTCACCAACTCTGCATAGCATTTTTACCTTTGCTTTTATGAGTAGTAGTAAGGATTGGTCTGTCACTCTCATACGAGGCAAACACTCTACCATTTAGCTGCATCATCTATCCTTATACACTGTTTTAAATCACAAATTTGTGGTTTTAAGTATTCAGATTTATCTTTTATGTCTAAGTTGTATCTCATACTTAAACCTTCCTTTCCCTTCCTTTTGTCCTCATTCTACTTTGGAGCCTGTGTTTTAATCTATATTCACCAGGTAAGCCATGCACAGACTCTGTCTTTCTGATTTTAACATGACAGCTCTCCAGTTTGCCCTTTTCCTGTAGGTGATGCACTTTGCTGTATGCTCAAGCCTTCTAGTTGAACATTCAGAAATAAAGTGGGATTTTCAGTCATGTGAAGCTTCTAATTTGGTCTCTAGGCAGAGAAAATAATTTCTCCGCATTGTGTCTGAAGCATCAGTGTGTTAATCTTTACTGCACTGGCTCTAAAAGTCCTGGAGCTTCTCAGATTAGAGTGTACAGACTCTATACATTACAGTCACTTTATAGATAATGGTTTTAAACCATGGAAATAACTTATCTCCTTTTTCATCCTACAGTCAAACTATGTTACTGATTTTATTTACTTACTATATTATCTGTTATTTTTGTATTATTTCATAATGAGCATGTTATGTATATGCCCCATTATATGCATAGAGTTTGTTACATTTCAAAAATATGTCAGCATTCTACACAGTTTTATCAAAAATAAGCAGTTTTAGGGTTTAGTAACTAATAAGTTGACTTTTGTCTCAGACTTTTTTCGTGTTTCTTGTTTTTGTCTCACTATGTAGCCTAGGCAGACCTCAAACTCAAAATCTTCCCACTTTACCTCCAAGATGCTGACCACACCCAGCCATGTTTATTGATTTTGAACTTTAAAAAAAATCTTTATCACAGCCAGATATGGTGATACATGATTTTAATTCTAGCATTCTGGAGGTAGAGGCAGACAGACTGATTTCTTTGAGCTTGAGGCCACACAGGGCTGTGTGATGAGGTTTTGTCTTGGAAGGAAGAGAGGGAGGGAGTCAAAGATGTGTCTAATTCACTTGTAAAGCATTGTAGCTTAGCACAGCCTACTCATGACACCTACATTAGCTTAAGGTTGAACACACTCACCTTACATAAAGCCCATTTCACACTGAAGTGCTTGGTATCTGGTGTAATTATTAAATTCTTTATCCCATGGCTGCTTGGGAGCTGCACTGAGTGTTCCACCTGTTGCTAGTCCAGGAATCAACCAAAATTCCAAGTATTCAAGTATTCACCATCATAAAACCAGAGGCTGTTAGGTTAGCCAGTTATTTGGTTGGAGATCATGGTGATAATGGCTAAATGAATCTTGACACTCGGAAACAGCACTTGCTTTTTTTTTCTAGATCATTTGCTTTTCTTGGGTAGCTCCCATTTTTGCTTTGTGAACAAGCCACTCGTAGTTAGCAAAATACTATTGCTGGTAACATTTGTTGTGGAGGGTGTCTAAGAGGTGAAGGAATTGCTGGTTGTGTTATGAATGTAGGAAGACATCTTTTTGCCACACCTCAGAGGCTCCTTGACATGACAGGCTGCCCAATCCCAAGCCTAGTTCTTAGTTTCCTTAGGTTCTTCGGTGGTCTTATAGCATGGAGTTGTTCTTTTCCTTTAACGAGTTAACAAAAAACCCAATTTTATTTAGAGTTTATTTAGCAACAAAATTCTAGCAGATTCATTCAAAATTGGCCCTTCCTTAGGGAAGCTGACAGGAAATTTACATGAGAACCCACTGGTGTGTATAGTAACATACTCAAAGACTGAGGGTTTTCTGTGACTTATTTGTTTTTGTGGAGATGAGGGGTGGACCTTAGTCTGTAATGTCGTGTTTGCTGTTTTTATAAGTGTTGATCATCATTCCTCACCTATGCATCACTCCAGTAGGCCTCATGGTTTATACTCCGGCCAAGAGGAGTGCAAGTTCAAGGCCTGTTTCAGCTCTAGAGAGTCGAAGGCCAGCTGGGCACCCTAGTGATGCTGTCTGAATATAGTAAAAAGTGAGAAGAGCTGAGGCAGCAGCAATGAATGGTGAGCAAGCACATGCTTGGAGTGCCTGCCACTTTACCCTAAATGTCCTCAGTATAAGTGCTCTGAGCTTACGGCTCCTCAGCTGTCTGCAGTGTGAGAAAAGTGGAGCTAGTGTCCCGGTTCTCTCTGTAACTTTAGGCAAGCCACTGAATGCTGTGCTCTGACTTTTTTTAATCTTTGTAGTGGGGGGGGGGGGGTCAAAAATCTGTTCCTTCTTCATGAAATCCTGAAGGACCAGAGTATGAAGTTACAGGGAAATTCTTTAAAATAGAAATTGCCATTTCCTCATCAAGAGTGTTGCTCTCATGTCATTTTTATAGTTTCTTTGTTTTATTTGCCACTGTTTTACGCTAATAGGCTTTAGTCATCTTTGTTTCCTAGAAACAAAAAGGCCACCTTCATTCTATGCTCTTTGTCTGCTTTACGTATGTTTGTCTCTTTATGAAGCAGGTAGAATTCTGCACAAAAGGAATCCTGTCGCAGGATAATAAGTCCCATTATTAATAGTTTTCATGGGCCTAGGAGGTGGCTTAGTGGATGAAAGCACTTGCCTGACCTGAGTTTGGAACCCTGAGGTCCAAAGCAGGAGGCATTTTGTCCTTGCACTACGCTTGTGCCATGATACATCTTTTACACACATACACAAAACAAGTTGGTTTTGTTTGGTTGGTTGGTTGGTTTGGTTTTTTGTTTTTGTTTTGTTTTTTGATTTTTGGAGACAAGGTTTCTCGGTGGCTTTGGAGGCTCCCCTGGAACTAGCTATAACTAGCTCTTGTAGACCAGGCTGTTCTCAGACTCACAGAGATCCCTCTGCCTCCCGAGTGCTGGGATTAAAGGCGTGCTCCACCAATGCCTGGCAAAACAAGTATTTTTTTTTAGAGTCATTCTTAAGCCAATAACTGGCTGCTCATGAGAGTGAGGCCTCTAACTATGGTTTTAAAACTTTCCCCAGAATGACTTTTGCCATCTGTGGAGGAGCTCATAAACTCCAAAGAAATTGTCATTAGTACATTGATATATTTTGGAGATAATATTATCATTTAAATATTGTTAGACATATTTTGAGCAAAAAGATCTCTTTGGCCCCTTCTGCAATGTAAGATTCAAACAGTTAAACTTAGATTTCTGTTGTAAGGATGGAGAAATGGCTCTGACAGTTAATTTACTAGATGTGTGTGAGGAACGGAGTTCAGATCTACATTAAAAGCAAGGTCTATTGTGCACACCTGTAAGCCCATGCTGGGGAGGTGGGAAAGGGTTCCTGGAACTGTCTGACCAGCCAGTAGAGCCAGATCAGTGAGCCCCAGGGTTAGTGAGAAACCCTGTCTGGTGAAATAAGATTGAGCTAGACACCTGACATTGATGCTCACATGAACACCAGCAGAGTTTTGTTTAAGTGTATTTCATTCAGAAACATGATGTGTTTGATCAGACCTACCCCATGGCCTCCCCTCCAGTTACTTCCTTAACCCGCTACAGCTTGTGCTTTAATGTATCCCTGTAGTGCTGTCAGTGTGTGCATGGCTGCAGGGCCACCTATTGGAGCACTGGTGACCTCATGGCCTGCATCCTGCTGATCCCTCCTCTCCCAACATACATGTTTTGGGGTATCTGAAGTAGCTTTATTGTCAGCTTTTACTTTGGTTCGAGGGAAATTTCCAACAAATCTATAATTATCTTGTTCAGTATCTCCATATTTTTAAATTAAGGCTATGTACCAAATGCAGGTCATGGAGAGGACCCAGATGTTTAGACATACTTTAAAATGGCTTTAGACTCTGAGCTATCTCTTTCTCTTTCAGCGGGCCCATATGGGATCTTTGCTGGCAGGGACGCCTCCAGGGGGCTGGCAACATTCTGTCTGGATAAGGATGCACTTAGAGATGAGTATGATGACCTCTCTGATTTGAACGCCGTGCAAATGGAGAGTGTTCGAGAATGGGAAATGCAGTTTAAAGGTATTGTCGTTTGAAAAACTGAGCATATGCTTTAAAAGACACCTTTCTATTTTCATTTCCATCATTATAAGGATTTATTTTAGTTAATAAAACTATTACATGTGACAATTAAGTTGAAAGTCTGTCCATATTTGAAAATGTACTTAGCACCATGTGTGGCACAATCTCAAATTGTAATACTTTCAGTAGTTGTCTAAGACTTGTTCATTGGGGAATGGTTTTGTTTTGCTTTGCTTTGCTTTGCTTGAATACAGGATTGTATTTAAAACAAGCTGAAGGGTTAGGTTGTAGCACAATAATAGACTGTCATGACCTTCTTATGTCCTGGGTTCCATCCCAGTGCCTTGAGAACTACCACAACCAGGAACAACAAAGGAATATGTGATATCAAAACTATAATGATAATGTATTGCAAAGTGATTTAATTGTAACTTTAAGTGCTGGGTAAAGAAGGAATACTGTGCCCTCATAATATCAGATTTTACCTCCTGTGCAACATTGCCTGAGCCACCTATCTCCTTCTGGGCCTTTGGAGTAGCTTACTGAGCTTCTCAGCACTTGCTTGATTCTCCTATATGCAGAACCCAATGCTAACCCTTTCCACAGCTAATCTACTTAGTCCTGGCTTAATTCACTTAGCTAAGGTTTTTCTTAGAAACAGAAAACAAGCATGTTTAACCTGCATACAAGGTTGTAAATGAAACATTTGACACATAAAAGCAAACAAAGTACACCTCTGAGGAGAGAGTTTGACATGGGAAAGAATGATGATGTGGTAAGGGCCTTGCAGAGAGCCTAGAGAAATGAATTACAAATTCCCCATCCCTATTACTTTGTCACGTATTTCTCTGCAGAATATTTCTCAGGTCTGTTTACCCTCTAATTCTGTACCTCATGGGCCCTGCTGCTACCACCACCCCATCTTCATTCAACCCAAGAAAGTCTTCTACATGGTTGATATTCATTCACACACAGACACACACACACACACACACACACCTGTGTGTGTAGCCTAGATTGACTTCAAACTCATAGCAAATCAAGTGCTGGGACTGTATGTATGAATTACTATATCTGATTATAATATTTTAGATGTAATGTTTTGAGATATTAAGATTTAAAAGAATTGGAGGCAGAGGCAAGTAGATCTTTGTGAGTACGAGGCCAGCCCTATCTACAGAATAAGTTTCAGGATAGCCAAAGTTACACAGTGAAACCCTGCCTCAAAACAAAACTACCAAAACAGAGAGAGAGAGGAGAGAGAGGGGGGAATTGGACTAATGGAGCTCAGTGGTAGAACACTTGCATAAAGCCTAGCACCACAATAGCAAAGCAGCCACTTTCCAAGATTCTGTGTACATTTTAAAACTGCTGATAAGACCCACTAATACTGAACTCTCCTTCAAAGAACAATCCTAAACCTTGTCAGTCCCCGTTGCCTTCTGTTCAGGCCTTACATGCTTATAAATGAAGCATTACAGTGTATGACTTGAGGCAAGTGCCTTCTTGCAGTACAGTGGAATCCTGAAACAAATTTAACCATTACTGACTTTTCTTTTGGTATATCTTTCAGAAAAATATGATTATGTAGGCAGACTCCTAAAACCAGGGGAAGAACCGTCAGAGTACACAGATGAGGAGGACACCAAGGATCACAGTAAACAGGACTGAACTTTGTGAACAACCAAAGCCAGGGGCCTTCAGAACTGCAACTCTTACTCCTTTCAGAGAATGTCCAGTCTTTGGGTGTGGTGCACCTGCTGTGAGAAACACTTCACCAGAGTGTACACTGTGATGTGCTTCACTGAAGATCTGAATATGAGGCATTCATTATTTGTGCTGCCGGATGGATATGTTGCAGTTGTTTGTGATGTCTGGTGGGCTTCACCACCCTGAAATGGAGACAGGGCCTTCTTAACTGCAAGAAAGTCACCAGGTTATTTTTACCCTCTCCTTCCTTCTCTCTTCTTTCTCTTCCTTCTCTCTTCCCTCTCCTTTTCCTCCTTCCTCTCTGCCTTTCTGTCTCCCACCCCTTCAATATCTCTTTTAAAACAAAACAAAAAAAGTATCAAAGACAACCAGATAGGTATTTGCTACTCAAGTGTACAGATCTCTGAAAACAGCAAGGTATCCTGTTTCACAGGCTGTTTTATTTGTGTTAAGGGAAGAACCCTGGGCAGGGAGTGGCGGTTACACATTCAGGCTACTGAAAAATTAAAGATGAATTCCCAAACTCTCCCCCCCCCCCCGGGCTTGTTCAGAGAAAAGGAAAAAAGAACTTTCTTCTAAGAAAGATTTGGAAATTAGAGGGACTTCTAGTGGCTTGAAGTCAGCAGTTCCCCAGCTAAGACAATTTGAAATCAGTTTTTTCCTTCCCTTCCTTCCGCTAGGTCAAATCAATATTAATTGTGCCTTATTTCACTTCCATAAACTTGAATTGTTTTTAAGAAAAGCCCCTCTGTGAATTCAGAAGTCACTACAAGCAGCATTGAGATTGAGGTTGATGTCATTCTGTATGTAGAATGTAAGAGGAATACTCAGTGTTAACTGCCATGTGTTAATACACAAGCATAGCTAGCATTGTGATGGCCAAATGCATCCCCTATGCTTTTTTCTTTTCCAAGAAGAATTGAAAAATCAACAACTCTTCCCCAACAGCTGCCTAATTTTAGGAGTCTGACCCTCACATGTCCCTGATGTGGTTGCGTGGGGTTGTGGTATGAATGTCTGTGTGGGTGAGTCTGATGTGTGTGAGAGCACCTTGGGAGGGTCTCTTTCTGCAATGCTGTAAATACGAGTACCGTTTTAATAAAGCATGTACAATAAACCAAATAAGCTCGGAGTTGGACTCTAAATGCAGAGCGGTGAGCCAGTGTGTCCTATACTGCTAAGACTGCATTTGATTCAGGATGAGGAAAAATCTCTTGGAAATGAAAATCAGGCACTGGTTAGCCAAACTGTACATGTACCACATTCAGTGTAACTTCTGAGGCAATTCCACCTTGGTGGAACACTCCCAATTGGGATCATTCAGGTAAGAAGTGATGTATTACAGTGTACATATTTGTACTTAGGCTTTGACGCCACTGGTTATGCTACAAGCACTAGCCTTCCAAGCAGTAGCTGACATACAAGCAGTATTACTAATAGCTGTTAAACCCCTTCACTGTTAGTTGGGAAAGTTCTACTTCAGAACCTGCTTAGGTCAGATTTTGGCTTCATCTTGATAGATTCTTGGTCAGGGACAAGTTGCTCCCACATAGGAAAGCCCAAAATGGGTGACATGAAAAGACTTGTGGCTGCTGGGTGTAATGCATGCAGAAACTGTCAAGATGGTGTGGTAAGCAAAAGAGTGCAAAATGTTACACTCCTGATCAGTCCTGGAATATTCTCTAGAAGTTGGCACCAAATCCTGACTGAAGAGCTCATGTGATGACTAAAGACTGTGGATAAATGGTTTCTTTTTTATGTAAAATATTTTCTAATAACACTGTTAAAGTATATATCCTCTGATGTAGTAAACTGGTATATTTGAACCATTGGACCTGAAGGTTGATACTCTGCATCTATGAGAAGCCCCAGGCATTCATGCAGTAAAAACAAAGTGTTTGTTTGTTTGTTTTTAAGGAAGTGGTTTTGTGTTTTAGACTTGAAATAAACTGTTCTATAGATAATTTGGTAACTCCAGTCAAATGTCTCATTGTCAGGTAGTGTGGTACAGCAGTCTTGGGGGTCTATAACTGGCATGTTTACCCAAACTGCCTGCTTGTTAGGGGTTTAAAAAACATGTTCATTTTTCTTTTCCTTCAGTGTTAGAATTGAAACCCAAAACTTCACACATTGCTCAACCATTTAGCTACATCAGCTCTAAAGTATACACTTCCTACACACTGAGCCTAACCCATTTGTAATGATTCCTCCGATCATCCTTAGGACTGGGCATGTCTGAGAAATCCTGCTTTCATCTCTGAAGTTTAGTGGTCCATATTTGCCATACAATAAAAATAGAACTTTTAATTTTGGTCTGATTACCTACATTTGTTTTTAAATACTTTTATTTGTGAGTATTTTGTATGCATGTTATGTATCTCTGTGCACAGCATGCATGCAGTGTCCTCGAAGGTCAGAAGAGGGCATCAGATCCCATGTTACTGGGGTTACTGTGCTTGCAAGATAGCATGTGGGAGCTGGAATTGAATGGCATACTCTGTCAGGGCACACATACTCTTAGCCACTGAACCATCTCTCCAGCTCCCTGCACTTGGTTTTGATTTATTCTGAGTTTAAAGTCACTTTAAAAAAAATAAATAAAATTAAACCATGCTTTTAAAAAGCATTAAAATTTTAACATTAACTTTTGTCTCTTGCAGCATCCCCAAAGTCCCCTTGGAGTAGAAGCTGTGAGAGCCCCTTCAGGGAATAAACCCATTCCAGTGAAGTTTCCCAAACCGTGATTGGTGTTATCCTAATTCTCCCCCTTCCTTAGAGCTGCATAGTTGATCATTCAATTCTTCCCACAGGCTTCAAAGCTCAAGTCAGCATGGTGAATTAGCACAAGAAATGTGTCCTCTGGAAAGCAAACCAGCCTCCTCATCTGCACACCCCACTTCTGTCTTAAGTGTGGCAGCTTGCTTGGTGTCTGTGCCTATAAGGTGTTTGTTTACAGTGTAGGGCCTGACATCTCTGAGAGCAGTTGGAATAGATGCAGCATTCTACTTGTAAGATGTATACATTTCTTTGAGTCTGTTGAAAGTAGAGTTGAGTACTGTTGCACTGAGATAAGAGTAGTTCTGACTTCTCTAAGGTGGAGTGTGGTCATTGAGGTCAGCTGTTGACTGGGTTATAATACTAATCAGACATGACCTATTTGGCTATGGGGGAAAGGTCCGTAGTAACCAGCCACCATTAGTCTTTATGGAGAAAACATAATTGCCAGCCAGTGTGAGGCACTCCACCTCTTCATGGTTGAGACTGAGGAATCTTGGGCTGAACAACAGCTCTCCATCTGCTCTGCCTCCATTCAAGAGATCCCATGAGGTGCTATGAGCACTGTCTGAACCAGCATCATCACTTGCACATAGGGCCCAGCCAGCCCCTGATGTTTGCAGTTCGCAGCTGAACATCTACAAATGCCTTAAATGTGCTCTCTAACCATCCCCAAGTGGAAATGACAGACTCCTGAGCATTAGTTGATCTGAATTTGCTTTAAAAAGCAAAGAATGAAGCTTCAAAGATAAATTCAAAATGTGCTTTTGCTAGTTAAAAGAGTGTGGATTGACCAAAAGTTGTAATTCAGCAGTTAACTGTGTAAAGCCCTTTTAATGCCAAACTTCGACATTGTGTTTAGACTTCCAGGGCATCCTCTTAATCCAAGACTGGAGTCTCCCAAAACATCTCCGCCTAACTTTCTGGAACTTCACTTGTTAATATGTGGTCCCTACACACCTGCTGCTCACTGTTGAAGAACTGACCCCACCCCCAACCCAGCTTATCTTCCTACTCAGCCTCCTTTCTTATGGATATATTCTTACTACCTGTTGGCAATCTGCCTAATTTTGACATGCTGTGACCCTGACTAAAGGCCTTCATTGACACCTCAGGATTCAAAATGTAGGCCCACCATGTCTGCCTCCTCACCAGCTTCATTAACTGATACATGTAACTACTGCCAATTTTGCTTTCAGAGTGTCCCTAGCCACTCTCTGCTCCATTTTTCAGTTCTGGGTTATAGTCTCACACCCTCCCTGATTAATTTCCTTTCTAGCTCCTTAAGGCAGAGCCAGACTTAGTGCCCCCATGCTAATTTAAGGGACCCCTGGCCCAGGCCTTCAAAGCAGGTGTACATGAAGCCTTCCAGTTACTACGTAATTATCTACCCTGATAATCCAGCATCCACATTCAGGCTCCAGTTTTAGGCCCAGTAATTTTTTTTTTCTTCTCAGACTTTACTGCCAGCTACATAAAACTGATCCATACAACTTTTAAGTGAATTTGAGAGCTGAGAGAGTAAGCAATATAAACCAAGGCACCAAGGAAGCACCAGGGCTTCAGAACACCTAGGAGACACATCTCAGCATTTCATGTTGTTTATTGGGTTTGCAATTTGTTGCTACAAGAAGAGAGAGGTAGGGAAGAGAAAAGCTGATTGAGACTGTTGACGAAGCCAAGAGTTGACCATGCAAGTTTAAAATCTACAAAGAGCTGCATCACACCTGGTTCGAGGCAGACACTCAAAGCCTGGACCTGAGGTGACCAGTGAGCCCAGGTGGCCAGGCTAACAATGTTAGTCAGCTCTAGTAAAGTCATTTGTCCTCACTGTCCCTGGCTACTGGAACTTCTTATGGTGTCTAGTAGATACCAATGAGAAATTAGAAAACAAGATAAACACCAGTTTGATAGTCTACAAGGGGCTAGAGAGACGGCTCATTGGTTAAATACATGTACTGTTTGGCAAATGACTCCAAGCTGCCATGTTGGATGGATCAAACTGCCTAAAATGCCAGAGGGGATCCGATGCCCTCTTCTGAACTCCACAGGCTCCTGCATGCATGTGCACATGCACACATACATAACTTTAAAAGGACAAACTACAGTGTGATAAAGGTAAATGGAAACTGCCCTGGACCTGGGGTGCTTTCCTGGGGAACCTCACTCACCTATGGGGAGAGACCTTTGCCCCTACAGCAATGAGAAGTAGGGAACAGAGAAAAGGTAAGAGTTAAGTCATGTCTCACATAAGAAAATTCTTGCTGGCTGGAGAGATGGCTCAGAGGTTAAGAGAACTGACTGTTCTTCCAGAAGTCCTGAGTTCAATTCCCAGCAACCATATGGTAGCTT